ATGGATGGGTGCTTTTTATTTAACTTCTTTTGGACTGATGCATGCAACACCCGCTGAGTAGCATTAAACAGCTTGAAAGATCAAAGACAATTTTTAATATAACTTCGACTGGATTCGTCTGAAAGAAGAAAGTCATATACACCTAGGATGACTTGAGGGTGAGTAATTTATGGGTTAATTTTCATTTTTTTGTGAACGAACCCTTTAATTGTTAATATTAACATTGTTAAATATTAATTCATATTTATTTATTTTAATTGATGTGATTTTAAACAAAAAGATTTTAAATGTTTTAAATAATTCAACAAAGATGAAGGATTTCACAGCTTTTTGTTTATTACTGGTGCCGGTGGTTTAATTTACATTAGCCTGGGCAGATTTATGACATTTATTTTGGATTAAAAGGTTCATGCAGTGCAAAAAATCTTGGCAAAGTTGTCTATTAAAAAAAGTTTGTTTTTCCTCCTTCAAAATAGTTATTTTAGAGCACTTCTGTCTGGAACGGCACAACAACATGGCTGCCTGCCACTAATGAAGGGCTGTGAATGTGTGTTTCTCTGTGCAGTAATGGTGTCCCGCAGACAGCCTGTCCCGTCTGATATCGCAGTGATCATGTACACCAGCGGCTCTACAGGCATTCCTAAAGGAGTCATGATCTCCCATAGCAACATCATCGCTGGCATCACTGGCATGGCTGAACGCATTCCTAACCTGAAGTAAGTTTCTCTGACACACGCTCCTGTCTCACTGTCTGCATTCATCGGTCTCTCTATCACGCTATCTGTTTCTCTCTTTTCATATTTTCCAGCATGATTCTGTCTATCCATGGATTTTTAGTTGTTAAAGGGGTCATATGATGCGATTTCAAGTTTTCCTTTCTCTTTGGAGTGTTACAAGCTGATTGTGCATAGATAAGATCCCTGAAGTTGCAAAGACTAAAGTCTCAAAACCAAAGAGATATTCTTTATCAAAGCTTTAAATAGCTAATCTCCATTAATCTCCATTTTTTTTTATTGGCAGTACTTCATTTTATGGCTGAATAATAAATTAGCATGTACTACTAATTAAGGTTTTAAAGCAGAAAGCTGGTCACGGCAATATATGGAAGTCCGTTTCCTCCACTGAATAAAAAATTAAAAAAGGTAATTGCAACTTTTTATCAATTTTGACTTTTTTTCTTGCAATTCAGATTTGACTTTTTTTCTCAGAATTGTGATTTATAAACTCACAATTGCAAGTTATAGTCAAAATTGTGAGATATAAACTCGCAATTCTGAGGAAAAAAAGTCACAATTGCAGGATATAAACTCGCAATTTTGAGAAAAAAGTCACAATTGCAAGATAAAAACTCGCAATTCTGAGAAAAAAAGTCAGAAATGTGAGTTTATATCTCGAAAGTCTGACCTTCTCAGAATTGCGAATTTAAATCTTGCAATTGTGACTTTTTTTCTTGCAATTGCGATTTTATATCACACAATATTGACTTTATAACTCGAAACGGAGAGTTTTTATCTCACAATTCTGAGAAAAAAAGTCAGAAAGTTTGTATCACACAATGGCGAGAAAAAAGTCAGAATTGTGAGATAAAAATTCGCAATTACCTTTACCTTTATTCAGTGGCGGAAATGGGCTTCTATAGCAATATTAATTGTTAATCAAAAAATACCTAGGAAGCAAACCTGTTTGAGGTTTTTGTTTGTTTTTTTGAAAGAAATGACAAAAATATTAAGCAGCACAACTGTTTTCAACACTGATAATAATAAGAAATGTTTCTTGAGCAGCAAATCAGTATATCAAAATGATTTCTGAAGGATCATGTGACACTGAAGACTGGAGTAATGATGCTGAAAATTCAGCTTTGCATCACATGAATAAATTACATTTTAAAATATATCAAAATAGAAAACCGTTATTTTAAATTGTAATAATATTTCATAATATTATTGTTTTTACTGTATTTTTGATCAAATAAATGCAGCCTTGGTAACAAACTTTTGAATGCTACTGTTCATTTAAATCTCTAAAATCTCATGAAACGTTGAACCACATTTAATCATACTGGAATGTATTACTGAAAAGTTCATGTAAGTTTTGTTAATGGCTTATTAAAGTAAGTTATAATAAAATGACTTGTTTTATGACTTTGTACCAAAATGTGACACCTGACATTGCAGTTAGAAACTGTTTTCTCTGTCTGTGTGACTGAACGCTGGCCTGCCAAATCATCCGAAATGTTTGTTTAGATGTTGGTAAAGGATTTTCTGTTAGTACTGTTTCTGTTTATTGTGGCAGTGAGAATGACACCTACATTGGCTACCTGCCACTTGCTCACGTCCTGGAGCTCAGCGCTGAGCTGGTGTGTGTGTCACATGGCTGCCGGATTGGATATTCGTCACCTCAGACTCTTGCTGACCAGGTACAAACGCACACACACACACATGAGTCATGCTATTGTGCTGTCATTACCATGTCAAGCTCTTTTACAATCTCACAGTACTTCATATTGCCAAAGCATTTGCATCATAACTGCAGACAATGATAACACAGCCCTGCATCTTGAAGAAAAAATTCTGCTGGTTTGGAAAAAAAGATCTGCCAATATTTTGTCCTTTCTCCCACAGTCATCTAAAATTAAAAAGGGCAGCAAAGGAGACACCAGTATGCTCAGACCAACACTGATGGCAGCCGTACCTGTAAGAAACCTCACGTTCACACAAACACACACAGTGCTCATAACAGCTGTTGGGTTTGATATAGATGTGAAGTATTTCTCTCTCATTATGTCTGTGTGTAGGAGATAATGGACCGTATCTATAAGAATGTGATGACTAAAGTTGAAGAGATGAGCAGTGTGCAGAAAACTCTCTTTGTTCTGGCGTACAACTACAAGATGGAGCAGATCTCCAAAGGATACAGCACGCCACTCTGTGACAGGTATAATGAACGCTGCTTATAATATTAGCAAAATGATTTCATCTAAAACTCACTGGGTTTGTCCAGAAGCCGTTCTGTTTTCTCTGTTATAACTCTAATGTATAATTGCATCTTGTTCTGCAGGCTTGTGTTCAAGAAGGTTCGCTCGTTGCTGGGCGGTAGCATGCGTGTACTGTTGTCTGGCGGAGCTCCTTTATCTGCAGCTACTCAGCGTTTTATGAATATCTGCTTCTGTTGTCCTGTGGGACAGGGCTACGGCCTGACGGAGACCTGCGGAGCCGGGACCATCAGCGATTGTAAGCCTGAGATTCACTGAGCCAGGCGGTTGGAGTGAATCTAGGAGCAGCATTTTATTATAAAATAAAACTAAAATTAAATGATTCAGTCTATCCTTGGATTTTTAGTTATTAAATAGCTAATCTCCATTCAGTGTTTCCCCTGCCATTATTTTAGGGGGGCGGCCTGCCCCCCCAACTGCATCGCGCACAGCGGAGTTCCGCCCGCGCATACACACACACACACACACACCCACGTGCGCGCGCACACATGAGGAGTTCCGCCCGCGCATACACACACACACACACACACACATGTGCGCGCACTCCCACTAGTTTGTAAATATTAAGCCGCAAAACGACAATTTAAATATGAATTCTGCGTGTCTCTTTGTTAATGAATGGCGCAGACGTGCGGCTTTGTTTACCGCTCGTACTGAAGCGCGCGTGGCGCTTGCGTGATTTTAGCGTCTGCTGTCTCACTAAATGAGGACATAAATACATGAACAACATTTCCAGAACTGCTCTGAGAGTCACTTCATGAGCATTTGACCGTTTCATTTGAGTAAAACTATCCTCATAACACATACACACAGAAATGTAAAGGAAGGTATTCACGGCAACCCGTCAAAATAAAAGTTCGGTTTAACTTGAAGGCATTGGCAGAAATATATTACTATTGTTCAGTAGAATGTACGTAATAGGTTGCTACTACTACTACTAAAATTATTAAAACCTTGTTTTTAAGGAATAATCATACAATATTTCTTCAATGTTTTAATTGTAATATTAAATTACCTTTATTTTCCACAAAAAAAAAAGTTAAATTTTCATTACTTAAAAGATAGATTAAAATAATGTTTTATGCCTTAAAAAATGTAAATACACAACACAGAATTTCCCCCCCAAAAAAAGCCGTAAACCTAGGGGAAACACTGCCATTAATCTCCATTGCTTTATTAGCAGTGCTCCATGACTGAATAATAACCCTGACTTTATGGTAATGTACACCAGTGTTTAAAGGTGCTTTTCTTTTGTTTGGTTTTTTTAAAGAAATTGAAAAAATATTAAGCAGCACAAATATTTTCAACAAGAGTGATTTCTGAGGATCATGTGACACTGAAGACTGGAGTAATGGCTGTTGAAAATTAAGCTTTGCATCACAGGAAACTACATTTTAAAATATATTGAAATAGAAAATGGTTATTTTAGATTGTAATAATATTTCACAGTATTACTTTTATTTACAAGACCAGTGTTTTTATTGTCTTTTCAGTAATTGGAAATAAGGCTGAAAAATATAACATATTAAATATTTAAAATATAAAAATATTTCATGAAAAACGAACTAAAATAATTTAGTAGTAATAGTACTAAAACTGAAAAAAAAAAAAAAAAAAGCCAAACAGAAATATTGAATAAGTAATTAAAATGACAAGAACATAACATTTACTAAAACTTAAAACAAACATTTTAAATTGAAAATATAAAAATAAAATGCAATTCAAGCAATTAATAAAACTATAGTTGTATATAAATAATACTAACGCTGGTTAGGACTCATGACAGGAATAATGTGACTAAAAGTACAGTATGTTACTTGTCCAGGGATGTGCAGGAAAGTGCATGCGAGTTCTAGAATTAAAAGGTACTTTTAATCAAGTCAGTACTTCAAATTGAGGGTGTGTATTCTAGTATATAATTAGTTTATAATAATTTAGTACATTTAATGTATTTTTTTTTTACATGTCATTATCATGTTCTGCTCTGAAATATTTCTTTGGCTAGAAATTGCTCTAATATAATTAGTTTATAATAATTTAGTACATTTAATATATATTTTTTTTTACATGTCATTATCATGTTCTGCTCTGAAATATTTCTTTGGCTAGAAATTGCTCTTTGAGTGCAGTCTTTTTTTAAAATCATTTTTAAATCCTTATCCAGCAATCACAAACGACTAGGGAAAAGTAATGGGAATTTATGGGTCAACAGGTATGGGGACCTTGGGATTAATATATATCAAATCAGTGGTGAGAGGTCTTGAATAAAACCTGGGATAATATGCTGGGTTAATCCGACTATTCATGCGATTACTGCAGTAATAATAGTAAAGGGAGGGGAAAACACAGTTAGAATTGAAAGAAAATGATAGAAACCACACATTCAAATCCAGTGACATTAAATGAATGCTTCTGAATAAATGAATGTGTTAAATTGCATAAGTGTGCTAATACTGTGTATGTTTGTCTAGTGGCTGATTACAGCACTGGACGTGTTGGAGCTCCTCTGGTGTGTTCAGAGATCATGCTGAAAGACTGGGAGGAAGGCGAGTTCAGTTTTTTTACTATCAACACTTATGTTGATGTTCATTGGCTGCTATTGGTTTTTCTTTATCATAATTAAAGTATGATGAGAATTTAAATATTATTAAATAATGTCCTTTATTTTTTTTGGCCATAGGTGGCTATTTCAGCACAGATAAACCAAACCCACGAGGAGAGATTCTGATTGGTGGTCCCAACGTCACCATGGGTTACTATAAAAATGAGCAGAAGAACCGAGAGGATTTCTTTGTGGATGTGAACGGCCAGCGCTGGTTTTGCACCGGAGATATCGGAGAATTTCACCCTGACGGCTGCCTCAAGATTATCGGTGTGGAGAGACACCCATACACACAAACGCTATCTAAAGGGATACTTCACCCAAAAATGAAAATTATGTCGTCATTTACGCACCCTCCACTTGTTCCAAACCTGTATGAGTTTCTTTCTTCTTTTGAACACAAAAGAAGAAATTTTGAACCAAAAAGTTGACGTAGTCATTGACTTCAATAGTATTTTTTTCCATACTGTGGAAGTCAATGGCTGCCATCAGTTGTTACATACAGGTTTGGAACTACTTGATGGTGATTAAATGATGACACGATTGTAATTTTTGGGTGAACTATCCCTTTAAAGGGGTCATATGATGTTGCTAAAAAGAACATTATTTTGTGTATTTGGTGTAATGAAATGTGTTTATGCGGTTTAAGGTTCAAAAAACATTATTTTCCACATACTGTACACTATTGTTTCTCCTCTATGCCCCGCCTTTCTGAAACGCGTCGATTTTTACAAAACTCATCGGTCTGAAAAACGAGGTGTGCTCTGATTGGCCAGCTATCCAATGC